TTAGCCAGTGAGCTTGGCTCCTGGTCTTGTCCGCAGGTGTCTGGGCTGTGGTGGTGTCTGTCAGTGGGTCTGAGTGAGGGCCAAGGTCACCGGCAGCCCTTGGCCAGGATGCGGGCAGCTTGTGGGCTGTGGTGGGGAGGTGTCTGACGGTGCAGGCAGCAGCGGGAGCCGGAGGACGTGGGATGCTCAGGTGGGGCCCGTGGGCAGGAATGCAGCAGGGCTCATCGGGCAAGGGGCCGAGATAGCCCCAGCACACTGAGGGCGAGAGGGAGACACAGCAAGACCCGCCCAGGGACGGAAGGCAGGCCGCCTGGGGCAAGGGTGCCATGCTTCCCTGGGAATGCGGCCTGGAATGCGTCCACCGCTCCCACTTCTTCACTTAGGGGCCTGAAACCTTGAGCCTGCCTCTCAGGGAAGGTGGACTCATCAGTTTCTTACATAGGGAATAGTGACATGTTCAAGCTGCCTGGGAGATGCCCAGTACTTGCTGCGACGTTCAGGGCTGCCAAGGGCCCCTGCGTATGTGGTCATTCCCAACAGTGCAGATGGTGCCTCCTAGAGTAAGGGGGGTTGAGGCAAGAGCCCCTGGGCACTGGGCCAGCAGGCAGGCCACCTGGAGGTCCAGTAGCCTGTGCTCAGCCCATGCTTTGATCTGTCTGTTGGCATCCCTGCCAGGTTGACTTTGACCCAGTCCCCGTCCCCCAAGAAGGCTACAGCCACCCACAGGAGAATGGAAGCAAAACTTTATTCCTCTTGGCCAGGGAGGAGAACTAGAGGGTGGTCTTGCACAGGACCCCCATCCCTCACCCCTCCCAGAACCAAAGAAGACAGGTGGTACCACCAAATGGCTTCCTCTGCCCAAGTGAAAGCCAAGAGGCCCGTGGTCAGTTGGGAGAGGCAGGTGAGCGCAGGGCAGGGGCAGCTGCGGTGACAGGTGGCCAGGGCAGTCCAGGAGGGCCAGGGTTGAGGGATGGGGATGCTCAGGTAGTGGGCAGGCATAAGGACACTTGTCATGGGAGCTGCCTCTGGCGTAGGCACAGGCTCAGGGGACCACGACCCGGTAGGGGCTGCCTGGGATGTGCTCGTCGCCCCACTTGACCACCAGCGTGTACTCTCCCTTGTCCTTCAGCAGGTAGGAGACACTGTACAGCCGGCTGCCCACGTGCTTCACCAGGATCTCTTCACAGGGTGTCCTTGGGCCGTGGACCCCCACCAGCAGCATGTTGTTGCCTGGGACAGGAAGGGGTCTGTCACAGGCCTGGCCCCCTTCTGAGGCAATGACCAGTGGCCCTCATCCTGCGCCCTCCTCTCCCTTACCTGCTCTGGGTGATGGCCCTTCCCGAAGAGCAGCCAGCACCCTCCCCCTACCCAGGCCAGCATGGCAAGCTCCAGCTCTTCCAAGGAGATGGTAGGGAGGCCCAGATGGGAGGTAGCTCTAGAAGTGATGGCCACACCTTCCAGGCAGGTCCCCCTCCTCCCAGATGCTGGTCCCGTGGTAGTGTCTGGCCTAGTCTTTCTGGAAGGCTGGCGGGCCCTGGGCTGCCTACCTGCTTTGCTGCAGTCTACTGTGAAGCTGCTCTTCTGGCCCACGTAGGCCTTGCTCAGCCCCAGACCCTTGGCCACCACCTTGCTGGCGTCAGCAGGGCCTGGGCCTGGGGCTCCATGCTGGGGGGTGCCAGTAGCCTTGTTCAGGGAGTCCACAAAAACGGATGATGTCTCATGGAGGCTGTGGTTGCTGACGAGACGGGGGCCTGAAGAGCAGAGAGAGTGGGGCTGAGGTGGCTGAAGTGCCAGGCATTGGGAGGGCACCAGCAGCCTGGCCCTAGGCTCACCTGTGACTTTGGCCTTGAAGGGGCTGCCCCCAATGTGGTAGGGGCCGCCATACTTGATAGAGATGAGGTAGCTGCCAGGTGCCATGGGAGTATAGGTGACACGGTAGCCCTCAGGGCACTCCTGGCAATCCATCTTCACCTTGGAGGGGCCGTCGATGGTCACCGACAGGGCACCAGCTCCCGCATTGCTTGTGTTCACAATAAACTCGGCTGGGCTCCCTGGGAGCATGGGAGGTCAGGCAGAGCCAGCCTGGCCTGCCTCCCTGTCCTCAGCCATCCAGTGCAGGCTTGTCACCTCCAGATGCCTCCTGACTCACCAGGACCTTGGAGGCAGGGCCCTAGCAGCTGCATCCACACCTGAAGCCAAACCCATAGACCTACCTGTGACACCACCTTCCAGGCCTGCTCCATAGGCAGACACCAGGCCTGGGTCCCCTCCATGCCCAGGCTCCCCAACTCGGATCTTGAAGGGGCTTCCAGGGATGTGAGTGCCATTGAACTTGACATCAATCAGGTAAACGCCATTCTCGCGTGGGATGAAGCGCACAGCATACTTATCTGAGGAGCAAAAGGGCCACCGTGAGCCTGGGGTCCCTCCACTGCAACCAGCAGATGGCATCTGTAAGGAACAGCCTCGAGCCTGGCCCTCCCCGTTTCCCTCACCCATCAGTGTTTGCCCGGAAGCTCTGTGGAGCCTCCTGTGCTGCTAGGGCCATCGTGGGTGCCCACATCCTGCAGCACAGACCGTCCAAGGGCCGGGGGCTGAAGCCGTGGCTGCCCACCCGTTGGACAGAAGCCCCTTACAAGCGGGACATACGCCTCGCTGCCCCTCGGGAAGGTTACCATGAACACCACATCATCTGCATGTTAACTGGGGCTTGGAGATGGGCAAGAACTTTCTTCAAGTCATGCAGCCGGGAGGGGCAGGACTAGGTCATGAAACTGGCTAAACAGCCTCCCAACCTCTCCTGTCCCCAGGGCTGCCCCAGACTGTAAGAGCCAAGCCCCTGGCTAAAGGGCCAGACCGCCATGTGCCAGACTTGGTTTTTTCCTCCAGAGACTGCAGGGTACTGGGTGTGGAAGGCTTTCCTGGTGGCCATGGCTGTCAAGCCAGACCCCAAAGGCTTTGGGTCACCGACTGGGAAAGAGTTGCCTAGCTGAGGGAACCCAGGAAGGGGCCCCATCTTGGCTGCTTACAGGAGCAGTACCTTCCTTTTACACACTCAGCCTGCTTCCAGCCATCAGGGCAGGGCTCGGGGAGGCCTGCTGCCCCCGGTGGGGCCAAGGCAGATGGCTGGGTGGCCGGGCAGGGACAGGGCCTCACCTTGGTCAATCTCTGTGACATAGCACTCCTCCAGAGCTCCTGAGGGGCTGTGTACCTTGGCATCGATTGCCCCCTTGGCCCCGTTCAGGCTGACTGCAAAAGAGGCTGGCTGGTTGACCTTTAGCCCTGACTCCTAGAAGCACAGCAGACGTCGTTAGATGAGGTAGCTGGGGCCAGGGCAAAGGAAGAGGGCAGGGCCCCAGAAGTAGGGGCCCATAGGTCACACTTACCCATCTGGCGTCCAACTTGGTTTAAAGAGGGAGAGCCATTGATTTGCGAGGGGCCGCAAGCCACAGGCACACCCCCACACCCCCCAACCCATGCTCTGCAATCACACACCCAGGCGGCAGGAAGGGAGGGTGGCCCCACTCTGTGGGCAACACCCAGCCCTGGCAGGCTGTCCCTCTTTAAACCTCAGCCCTGGTGCTCAAGGGGCACAGGCTTCTGTTCAAAGCCTTTAGACCTGAGACACGAGAAAAACTCCACATGGCGGACAGGGTGCTTCCTGCCGACCCCAAGTGTGGGCTGCACCCGGCCAGAGCAGAGGCCCAGTGCCCAGAGCTGGGCCAGGCAGGTCACTTGACACAGGGCCAAAGCCTGCTCTTTGTTGTGGCTCTGGTCTGGCCGGGCCCAGGAGCCCCCGGAGGGCGGTTTCTCTCAGTGCCTCACCTGAAGACTAGAAACAGTAAGGCGGCGGGCGTCGCCAGACGGAGAAGCCACAGGCACCACGAAGGGGCTGTCAGGGATGTGCTCCTCGTTGAACTTGACTGAGACCTCGTAGTCACCTGGGCATGGAGAGAGCACAAGACTGCGCTGGGGAGACCACATGTCCCCAGGGGCCAGCCCCGGAGAGCATCCTGAGAAGCCCCAGCTCATCAGTCTCTGAGCCTCCCACCTCCTGCCAATAGCCCAGGTGGCCCTGGTCCCTCAAGGTGGAGAGCAGAAGCAGGGCTGGGCTGTCTGTGTAGCCCTGGAACCAACACTCACACCCAGGCCCTACTTTCTCAAACCCCAGCTGGGCTCCCAGTACCTGGCTCCTGCACCACATAAGCCACGCCACAGGAGCCATCCTTGCGGTCCTCGAAGGAGATCTCTGCCTTGCTGGGGCCCTCGACAGCAATGGCCAGGCCCCCAGCGCCAGCTTCCCTGGTCCAGATGCTGAATTCGGCTGTGGAAGAACAGTGTCCTTATGGAGAGCTGCTCTGGCATAGGCCCCACCAAGCACAGCCCAGAGGGACGTGGCTGCAAGCTACTTCCCTTACCCCCATCCCCACCCTGGGTCCACCAGGAGGGCAGGAGATCGGCGGGTAAGCAGGCCTACCTGGCACTCCGGCTTCGGCCCTCTCCAGGCCAGGGCCGCCTGCTCGGACCTTATGGGCACCCCCTTCCCCCAGGGGCCCCACAGTGAACTGGAAGGGGCTCCCAGGCACATGTTGGCCCCTGTACTTGACGCTGACTGTATGTGTGCCCATTTCGGCAGGCACAAAGCGGATACAGTAGGTGTGGTTCTCCCCTTCCACAATCTCGGCTTCATGGCTCTTGCCTGATGGGCTGGTCACCTGGGCTGTCATGTCCTGGATGCTAATTTCTGCAAGTGGGGGGACAGCCTGGTGAGCAGCAGCCCTGAACCCCTCCCCTTCTCTCCCTACCTCAGCTCCCCATAGGCCCTACCAGGGATCTTCAGGCTGAGGTCACAATGACTGCCAACGTTGGCCACTGAAGGGGCCCGTCGCCTGCGTGTGATGCTCTCTTTCACCCGGCCCTCGCCTGTCACCTTCACAGAGAAGGGGCTGCCTGTGGGAAGAAAGCGCAACCGGCGCCCATGTGAGTTACTTGCTGCAGGTGGGCCCCAGGTGAGGCCAGGAGAGCTGCCAAGTGGCGGCGGGGGGTGGGCCGTGTGTGACACAGCTGCCACACTCACCAGGCACATGCTGGTCAGCGAACTTGATATTGATGATGTAGTTGCCGGGCTCTGTGGGGCAGTAGGTGACTCTACATGTGCCGTCCTCCAGGTCCTCTGTGTTGATGTCCACCTTGCTGGGCCCCTCAATGGACAGGCTGAGTCCACCATAGCCTAGGGGATAGACACCCCTGAGCCAGGATGCCAAGCACGGCGGTCCTGCCCCAGCTGGCAGGCAGTCAACCTACCTGCATCTCGAGTGTCGATGATAAACTCCGCAGGCTCAAAGGTGTGGCCTTCATGGAGGCCCTGGCCCGAGACCCGAACACGGCTGGCATCCCCAATCTCTGACTGGCTGATCACCACTGGGATGGGGCTGCTTGCCACATGCTGACCATTCTTCTTCACATGCACCAGATGCTCCCCTGTCTCCTTGGGCACGAATGAAATCCCTGGGCACAGGGCAAGGCTGTCAGCTGGGGACAGCATGGGCCCCCCAGACTCCCTCCTTTCCAGAAACCCCGGCTCCTTGGCATCTTACCCACGTGGCCATTACGCAGTCGCTTCAGTAGACAGGGCTCCTCCCGGCCTGAGGGCGGCACCACAGTGGCCGTCAGCAGGCTGAGGTCCGTCTCTGAGATGTTGATGGGGATGTCCGCGGCTGAGCCCACCTTTAGGTGGGACATCCGCATGGAGTCGTCACCTGGCAGGGGAAGGCCGTCCATCACTGACTGTCCAGCTGCAGGAAACCAAGTCTCCCTTGCTGCCCATTTCCATCCCTGTTCCCAGTGGCACCTACCTGTGACCCTGGCAGTGAAGGGGCTGCCTGGGATGTGCTGCTCATTATACTTGACCAGGATGCTGTAGTCGCCAGGGAGCACGGGCAGGTAGGAGACACTGCATGTCCCATCCTGGTTGTCAGTACAGCTGATTTCTGCTTTGGATGGACCCTCGATGGCCAGAGATAAGCCCCCTGAAGAGATTCATGGGTAAGCATGGGAATTGCCCAGGGACACACTGCTGGTCCTGCACTGGTGAAGCGTCCCGACAGCCACGCAAAGGAAAAGGCCAGGGCAGCAGGGCAGGGAGCCCCTCTTGAGAATGTCTCCTGAATCCAGGCCTTGGCCAGTGCCAGGTGCAGGTGTCCCGGGCACAGAGCAGGTTGATACTAGAACTACTGCTCACCCTCTCCCGCATCCTTGGTGTTGACAGTGAAGGTAGCAGGCTTGTTGACCACACCGTGGGTGAGGCCAGGTCCATAGGCAGTGACATGGCCACAGTTGACATAGTCCACATAGAACTGCAAGGGGCTTCCTGAGGTAAGAAGAGGGGCCTTGTGAAATGGTAGCCTGTGTCTTCCCCCACCCATCTCTCTGCGAGTGGCAGTGGGGTGGGAGGGCCCACCTGGGATGTGCATGTTGTCATAGCGGATGTCCATCTCATGTAGGCCAGCCTCGCTGGGTGCATAGCGCACAGTCACGGTGCCGTCCTTGTTATCGGTGATGGCAGGCTGTGCCACCTTGCCCGAAGGCATCCGAACCTCTCCTACAAGGCAGCGGAGCCAAGGTCAGGGCAGCCATGGGCATACCCTGGCCACCTCAGCTTTTGAGCACCTTCCCAGCCCCCTACTCACCAGTGATCTCGCCCTTCTTGATGGTGAAGGGGATGACGAGGTCAAAGGGCCTCAGGCTGGTCACATCCAACCCATTGACACCTACCAGGGGCCTTTCTGGGGCCTGCAGTGAAACACAGGGCCTGGGTGAGAGGTGGTGGGAGGATGTGGGGTCCCTCCTCGCATGTGGTGAAACGGGCTCATGGAACACCCAGCTGGCCAGCCCCAGTGTCCCCTTGGCCAGGCCGTACCCAGGTCTGCTGGCCGCCCTGGGCGTAGGTGTACTGTGGGGCCAGCTGCTGAGACCGTAACGGGGTCTGCGCCACGGGCTGGTCCCCAGCCAGAGCCTGCAGGGCAAAGCAAGAGAGCTGGAGACTGTTGTCACAGAGGGGCGCCAGGGGGACAGGCCAGGACCTGCCCAGACCCCTGCTGACCCACCCCCAGGCCCCTCCTCACCGTCACTTGGAAGGGACTGTTGGGCACATGCTCGCCACCAAAGCGCACACAGATGACGTATTTGCCCGGCTGGGGAGCCGTGTAAAAGATGTCAAAGGTGCCATCCTCATTCTCCACCACATCTACATCCACCTCTGAGCCGTCAGGTGTGCACACGGTACATGTCACCTTGCCTTTGCCCGCTGCCTTTGTGTCCACAGTGATCACCGTTTCCTCCCCAATCTGGATGGTGGGGCCGATGCCAGCACCTGGTGGGGCAGGGTGGGTCCCCAGAGGGGGGCCAGCAGGTAAGCTCGGGCTCAGGCTGCTCCCGTTTGCCTGCTCCCACACAGGCCTTTTACTGCCACCACCAAGCACAGCCAGGCCTCCCGTCCCGCCCTCCAAGCTTGGATGGCGAGTGGTTTCTCAGAAGGCAGGGAGAGTTCTCCTGACCACCTCAAGTGCCCACGGGGGAGAGGCTCGGCAGGTGGCACCCAGGTGCCCAGGAGGAACAGGAAGGGCCCAGCCCATCCCAGCAAAAATGCTGACTGCCACCTCCCTTGAAAACCCAGTCTCAGCCAGCGCCATGGCCCACGTGGACGAACGCCAGTGCTCTGGCTGGGCACACAGCTGCCTGTGCCCCTGAGGCCTGGCCCCGGCCCCCAGTGCTGTGTGTGGCGCAGTGAGGCAGAGTCCTGCTGCAGTGTGGGGGGCGTGACGCTCGCCTCCCTACCCTCCAGGCCTGAAGGTGAAACTGGAGTTTCCTGACAACTGAGAACGCTCGCTCAACCAGAGGCTAGCAGTGAGAAGCAGCCTGGCGCCGGCGGGAGCTAGCAGCAGGGAAGCAGGGAGGCAGCAGGGTGAGCACCAAGTAGCACAGCACAGCAGGCTTGGCAGAGCAGTGGCAGCACCGGGGACAGGGGACAGGAGGCCCAAGCCACAGCCATCACCGCTGGGTTGCAAGGGCAGAGCAGCTGAGCAGCCTCCAGGGCCCCAGAATGCCCGAGGAGAGGGGAGGGACAGTGACGTTATGATCTGGGGCTCAGCTGTGGAGGCTTGGGGGCTGTGGGCTGTGAGGCCTGGCAGTGAGAGCGCCCCTTGTGGCCTGGCCTCCCGCCAGGGAAGCAGCTGGAGCACGAAACCCACTTGAGGGCCAAGTTCAGCGGACCCTGCCACCAAGTACCCTTATTGGCCAAGGGCTCCCACTGCACTAGACTCTGCAGGTGGCCCTCCTGAGTGCTAGACCTGGCCATCTGTGGCCCGAGCTGCCCACTCGTACCATCTAGCCTGTGGCTTGGGCCCCACCTCACAGGTACCCGATTCCCCCTTTCCCTGCCCAGCCCCGGCCCGTCAGCAGCCCTTGGCTCCTCCATCCTCAAAAAAATGCCCCCTCATTTAGCTCCCCCCCGAAGTCCCATGGCCACCGAGCCACCCCTCTGGCTTGCCTGCTTCCGTTCCGCAAACAGTAGCCAGGGCAACTGAAGTCACTCAGTCTTGCCCTCATCCCTGCGATCAGCACCCGTTTCCCCTTCTCTGCACACACACGCCTGTCATCTCAGATCCCACAGCCTGCTCTACAAAGCCATCTGCCACAAGACCCTAGCCATCCTCTAACCCTCTCCCTGGCCACCATGCCAGGGTGCCAGGCCTACAGCCTCAGAGGCCCTCCAGCAGCTATAGCCTCCCATCAGCATCCCTGGGGAGGCCTTGGCTAGGGCAGGGGATCCTCCAAGCCTGGTTGGGGGATGTCTGAATAACGTCACTGCTGGGGATGTAGGGGAGGAGGGAAAGAGAGAGGCGGGCCATAGAGTGCACTTTGGGGCTCTGAGGCTGGGCCAGGCCCCGCCATGCTGGCCACCCAAGCAGTCGACACTACCAGCCAGCCCCACCCGCTCATGCACCTCCCCCGCCCGGGACGCAGAGGCCCCTGGGAGGTGGGGATGGGGGTCTGTGGATCTGGCTGGGGCCAGGGCCTCCCACTGAGTGGGGGAGACCCCTCGTCCCCTCAGCCCACGCAGGAGCCCTTGCGCTTCCCCGGGGTGCCAAGATCCCTAGACCCCAAGGTCCCCAGTGTGGTGCCTCTCAGGATGTACCTCACCCCAAGCTCTCAGCTGCAACCCAAGTTTCTCAGATGGGGAAACAGAGGCCCAGAGAGGGGAAGGGCTGGAGTGTTCATGCTCAGCTCCGGAAGCCTCCCTGGGCCCTAACCCTCCAGCCCGTGGCCTCGTCCTGAGCCCTCCCCCCAACTCTGTCCCTGCCTAGAGCTGCAGCTGGAACTGTCCAGGGAATCAGCCCCGAGAGGAAAGGAAGCTGCCCCTCTGGGCAGGAGGGCCATTGGGAGTGGCCCCAGCAAGCGGCTTACCTAGCCCGTGACCTCCGATTGACACTGAGGTGAGAGGGCAGAGAGCAAGGAGAAAGGTCAGGTGAGTCACTCAAGGGGGCGGCCCCCACTCCCACACGCCACCCCAAGCAGCGAGCCCTTGCACACAGGCACACCCAAGCCCCGGGCCGAGTGCCGCGCTGGCCACTGGTGGGCTGGCTCACCCGTGACTGTGCACTTGCTGGCATCCCCGGTGGGCACGGCACGCACTCGGTACGGGGAGAATGGGATCTCGTCGCCGCCATACTTGATGAGGATGGTATAGCGGCCTGTCACATCCGGCACATAGGCCACCGTGTATGTGCCATCATGGTTGTCTTGAATGTGTGTCTTCTTCGGCTTCCCTTCAGGGTCCTGCGTGGCAGGGTGCAGGGGAGACTGTCGGCCCGAGCCCTCCTAAAGGAGTGCCAAGCACTGCTGCCAGAGGGACAGTCTCCAGGTCTCTCAACTGTCCAGACTGGCTGCTCGCTCTGGCACTGCCCTTTTCTTCCCCATGGGCAGTCTAGAACGGAAACCCTGAGACACCCAAGGCTCCCTGCTGTGGCGACAGGCAGGGCCAGGGAGCTTGGCACCCATCCTGCTTTACTAAATCCCAACAGCACTTGGCTCCTACCCTCGGCCCCAGGTCCTGCCTCAGCACTAGGAGCTCGCCTGGGTGATCTCAGGCTTCTATCTTTAGACCTGCCCTGTGGGACGACAACGGGGAAGGTGAGGCACCATGGGCTTTGGCAACATGCACAATGCAGTGAACAAATGTGTGTGGGGAAGCCTGTCACTGCTATGCTAAGGTAGTCGCAACCTTAGTGAGCCAGAGGCAGGGGACCGCTTGGTGCAGCTCCCTAGGGCGCCTAGAGGCCACGCTGCAGCCCCACATTTCAGCTGCCCGGCCAGGGCTGCCTTGCCTCCCGCCCTGTGCCTGGGCTCACCGTGATCTGGACAGCCAGCAAGCCCTCTCCGGCATCCTTTGCGTCAATGGTGAACTCCACGGGCAGGCTGGCAGGCACGCCGGTGGTGTTGAGCCCGGGGCCGCTGGCCTTCACCTTGCTGGCATCATGTGTAGGCAGCACCTTGACCTTGAAGGGGCTGTGAGGTGGGCGTGTGGTGAGCAGTCAGGCAGGCTGGGCCTCGGCACCCAGCCTGGGCCTCTCCCAGCAGGCAGCGGGCCCTTTCTCTTACCTGCGGGGCACCTCTTCGTCTCCGTACAGCACTGAGATGCTGTAGGGCCCTTCTCGGCTGGGCACGTAGTTGACGGTCTGGGTGCCATCAGCGTTGTCCACCACATCCACCGGCTCCACCAGGCCTGGCCCCAGTCCCAGCGTGAGCCTCAGCCAGCCCCTCGGGCCTCCACCCCACCGCATGGCCAAGGCTCAGCCCCAGGCCTAGCCCTCGCTGCATCCTCATCTGCCCGACCCCGGGAATGGCCCTGAACCCTCGTGGCACAAGATACCCATCTGGGGGCCATCCTAGACCGTTGCCTGCCTTCCCTCCCACATCTGCTCAGTGGTCAAGCTCTGTCTAATCTAGTCTGCGTTTTCCTGGTCTCCCCACTGTCTGAAGCACTTCCATCAAACACCCACACACTTGTCCCAGCCTCTGCCTGCTGGGCCTCCAGTCCCTCCTCACAGAGGACATTAGCCTCCTGACTCCCAGGTCCCAGCAATGTGACACTCACCTTTGGGCCCCTGCACTTTGACCTGCAGCGGGGCCACACCAGCCTTGCTTGTGTCCACCTGGAAGGACTGAGGGAGGTTGGCGCGGACCATGCCTGGACTCAAGCCAGGCCCAGAGCACTTAACTTTAGATGCATCTGTCACATCGTGCACAGGGACCTTAAAGGGGCTGCCTAGGGATTGGGGCAGAGGGATGGCAGCTTCATAAGACAGAGTTGGCATGAGCACACAGGCCCACCCCAGCCCTGCCCTGGCCATCGCCTCCTCACCTGGCACCTGGTGACCGCCATAGGTGACGTTAAGGCTATAGGTGCCAGCCTCGTAGGGGATGTACTCGACTGAGCAGCTTCCGTCCTTGTTATCCGTGCAGGACATCTTGGCCTCAGAGGGGCCCTCCACAGCCAGGCCCAGGCCCCCTGTGCCAGCTCCCCTGGTTCAAACAGACAGCCTGTCATTTCCTGGGGTCTCCAGGCCCATCCCCTGCCTCTGTGTCCAAAAGGCTGCTCACTCACCTGGTCTCCACAGTGAACTTGTTGGGCTTGTTTGTGGTACCACTTTGGATGCCTGGCCCATGGACACGCACCCGGGAGGGGTCACAGCCTTCAGTCACAGGCACCTGGAAGGGACTGCTGGGTACAGGGCTGCCGTCGTAAGTCACGTCCACAGAATGGAGTCCTGGGGGAAGGCAGGCTGGTCAGCAGGAGCCTGGGCGGGCCCTGCCTCCTACCCGCCCGCCAGGGGAGGCCCAGCGCGCACCCTCCTCATAAGGCGTGTATTCCACTTTGTACATGCCATCACCGCAGTCCTGCACGTAGGTTTCCGTCAGGTTGCCTGAGGGGTTGGCCACACGGGCCTTGACGTGGGGCCCTCCAGTCTGGGTCAGAGCCCGGGCATCCACACTGAACTCAGTGGTGGCCTCGCGGAAGACGCCTACCAAGGGACACAGGGAGGAGGCATTGGGCTCTGGGCCCTGGCTCTCCGCGCCCCAACCATGCATCCCATGGCAAGGCTGCTCACCTTGGCCCTCAATCCCAGGCCCATAGCACTGGATGCCAGAGGTGTCCACTGCAGGCGCCACCTGCAGCTTGCTGGGGAAGTTGGGCACAGGCTGGCCACCATACTTGATGGTGACGGTGTAGGCCCCAGGGCAGAGGGGAACGTAGGTGATAGTGTGAGTGCCGTCACCATGGTCCTGGATGTACACCTCAGCTGGCAGCCCCGCCTCTGAGCGGATCTCGATGGTCAGCTCTGCGTTGCCTGCGCTTGAGCAGTCCACTTGGAACTGGCCTACCTCCCCAGCAGTGGCCCGCTCCAGCCCAGGACCTGAGCACTTGACTTTGGATGCGTCAAAGCAGGGAACGACGTGGGCCTTGAACGGGGAGCCAGGGATGTGGGTATCAGCAAACAGGATGTTGATGTTGTAGTCCCCGGGCTCAGTGGGCACGTAGGACACAGAGCATGTGCCGTCCCCATTGTCCAGGCACTCAAGCTGAGCCTCGCAGGGGCCCTCCACTGTCAGGCCCAGGCCACCTGTGCCAGCGCCCTTGGTGTCGATGGTGAAGCGGGCAGGGGAGCCTGCACTGCCCCCCTGCAGCCCTGGCCCAAATGCCTTCACCTGAGGAAAGAGGGCGTCAGGAGCCAAGGCCACGCGACCTCCCTGACCCCAGCTCTCCAGCCCGAGCCTCCACCACCTCCTCTTGCCCTGGCTTCCCACCCCTCCCAACAGGACACGAACAGGCCCAGGCTGCCTGCCGGCTGGGCCGTCCATCAGTCATCGGGACTAAAATGAGATGGGGGAGGGCGAGCCTGGAGAAGATGGGGTGCCCCAGCAGTGGGCTCGTTCTTGGGGCCCCCTCTACCCCAATTACCTTGCTAGGCTTGGTGGGGGCCACGGCTTCCAGAGGAAAGGGGCTGCCGGGCACAGGCACACCGTCATAGGTCACCTCCACCTCATAGGGCCCCTCCTCACGGGGCACGAAGCGCACCACGCTGTTGTCAGCCCCCAGGCCCGGCTCCACCTTGCAGGGCACCGCTGCACCGGAGGGGCCCACGATCTTCGATGACACTTTGCCTTGGCCACCAGCACCCTTGGACTTGATTGTAAACTCCTGGTCTTTGCCAACATCCACCTCTGTTGAGATGATGAAAGGAGGGCGAGTGCAAGCGGTGAAACCCAGCTCAGGCCTGGGGCGAGCCCCCGGCTGGGAACGCTGAGTGGCTGCAACACGCTCCCAATTACTTACTCTCTCCCAGGCCAGACACCTTGATCTTGCTGAGGTCCAGGCTTGGAGACACTCCCACTGAGAAGGGGCTCTTGGGGATAGGATCCCCTCCGTAAGTGACATTGACACCCACTGGGCCCTGGGAGGGTGTAGAGGGGGTCATGGGTCAGGATCCTGGTCCCCCAGTTGGCAGCTGCCCTGCTCGGACGGGGGGGTTCAGAGCACTGGCATTGCTTCCCGGTTCCTCCCACCACGCCCATGCCTGCCCTCTCCCAGGTAGGGAATGGCAGAGGGCAGAACGCCCCTGGGAGGGGGCCCACCTAGGCCAGCATGTGAGGAGGCCTGTGGACTCAGTGACCGCAGTGGAGGAGGATGGCTACCTGCTGCACAGGAGTGTACTTGACTGTGTAGGTGTTGTCGTGGTGGTCAATGACATCCACATCTCGCACCGCATCTCCCTTGGCTACCCCTGAGAACTGGACATCCAGCTTGCCTTTGCCAGCGGCTTTGGCATTGACCGTGAAATGGGTAGGTTTGCCGAGCTCGACACCTGAAAAGACACGGTAGCCATCTAGGGGCACTTTGCCCCAAGACCCCGCCCTTGATGTCCCCGACCTCCTAGGGTACTTGTCCTCACCAGTGCGACTGAGGCCAGGGCCCTCAGCCTTCACCTTGCTGGCATCATGGGAGGGCTCCACCTTGACCCGGATGGGGCTGGTGGGTGTGGCCTGCAGGGGACGGGAGGAGGAGGGCTTAGGAGGAGAGCAGCTCCCCAACAGCCAGCCGTCTCAGGGGTTAGAAGCAGCAGCACCCACCTGGTCAGCAAAGAGAACCATAATGGTGTAGCTGCCAGCCCCACGGGGCGTGTACTTGACTGTGAAGGTGTCATTGTCATTGCGGATGATGTCAAAGTCAATGTCGGCCTCAGCAGGGCCCACCACTCCAGGGGCACACTTGATGCCGATGCTCACGTCGCCTGTGGCAGGGAAAGGAGCCGAGGCTAGGACCTCGTAGGGATGCCCTACCCGACTGCCCTCCCCGCAACAGCCAAGCCTTACCCTGGCCAGCCTCAGTGCAGTCCACAGTGAAATAGGTGGGCTCGTGGGCCTTGAGCCCTGTCTTGGCCACTCCAGGGCCATACACCTTGACCTTGTTGGGATGGCTGCCAGCTCCCACGTTCACCTGTAGGGCATAGGGGGCAAGGGCAAGGGCATGAGCAGCCTGGAGAAGAGGCAGAGGCTCCCTCAGCTACTGCTGGCAGGCACACAAAGTGGCACAGCTGCCCAGGAAGAGTGGCAGTTCCTCAACTGACTGAATAGTGACCACACAATGCTGCAATTCCACTCCTAGGCAACTAACTACCCCAGAGAAGTGAAAACAAGTGTCCACATCCACACTTGGACCCAGATATCCAAAACAGTAGGAAGCACAATTGTGGTCCACCAGGGACTAGGGAGGGCAGTGTGGTGGTCAGAGACATCCACATCTCGCACCGCAGACGCGGGAAAGTTTCTTTTTGGGATGATGATACATCCCAGACTTAGATGGTGGGCATAGTTGCACAACTCCGTGGATACACTGAAATCCACTGAGTTACCCGCTTCAAGTGGGTTAAGTGTGTGGGGTGTGAGTTTTGTCTAGGTGGACTAAAGGCCTGTGCAGGTCCAGCTTACCCTGAAGGGGCTGCTGGGGATGCTGACGCCTCCCCAGGATACCATGGCCGTGTGCTTCACCGGCTTCCTGGGCACGTAGGAGCAGCTGTAAGTGCCATTGCCATTGTCCTTGACCGATGCCTCCACAGGGCAGCCCTCATTGTCCTGCAAGGCACCAAGGAGCAAACAGCTTGTCAGTCAGCACCCAGATCTGGGCGCCCGCCACCCCGCCCCCGACACGGGTGGGTGCTCCACCTGGACTTGGACCCGGAGAGGGGCCTTGCCACCGTGCTTGGCATCCACCGTGAACTCTGCTGGCTTGTTGACTGCCACACCCGTCTTCTCCAGTCCAGGTCCACGTGCCTTCACCTGGTAGGAGACCACCGAGACCTCAGGGGACCAAGTCTAGGCCACTAAAGCCTCCAACCAGGCAGGGTAGCCAGGGACCCTGAGTGGCAGGAACATGCTGCCGGGCGTACCAGCCCAGGGCCTAGGCCCATGGCCCCCAGCTCTGCTGGCAGGAAGGGGCTATGCCCACCCCTACCCACCCCTAGTAGAAGCAAAGCCTTGGGCTAGTACTGCATGCCCTCACCCTGTCTGGGTGGAAGTCCTGGGGCGCATCACGGATGTCAGCCATGAATGGGCTGAGGCGGATGTCCTCGCTGTTGCACAGCACGTGAACGGCGTACTCGCCTGCCTCCTGGGGCCAGTAGCGCACGTCACAGGAGCCATCACCCTTGTCGTCACATTCGATCTTGGCCTGTGACGGGCCTTCCACAGAGAAGCCTAACAACAGCCGCCAGCCCCATCAGTGCCCTGAAGCCTTAGAGTGGGCTGCCCTTGCCACCCTCTGTCCCCAGATGCCCACACCACAGCCTCTAGCTTACCCAGGGTGCCCACGTCATCCCCGATGGCCTCCACCACAAAGTCTGCTGACTTGCCAACAACACCGCCCTCCAGTCCAGGGCCCCAGGCCCGCACCTTCTGATTGCCACACTCGGTGCCCACCTTCACCTCGAAGGGACTGCAGATGAGAGAGCAACACAGGAGACGCTGAAGGGCACCGCCCTGCAGGAGAGCCAGCCTGGCCCTCACCATCGGTGGGGAGAAAGGATAGAAGGCATGGAGGGCACAACACGGGGCGAGAGATGCTTGGGCCTCACCTGCGCCCGATGTTCTGACCACCCCATGTGATGGTGACGGTGTAGGTGCCAGGGACCATGGGGTAGTACTCGAAGCCATACACGCCATCCCCCAGGTCCTTTTGCTTCACGCGCTCCTCGCCCTCTGCCGAGACAAGGAGGCCTCAGGCCTGCCCTGCAGCGAACAGGGGGCTGCCACCACACAGCCCGGTCCAGCCCCAGGCTAACTTACTGGGGCCCTTCACGGTGACCTTCAGCTCCCCGCTGCCAGCACCCTTCGTGTAGACCTTGAAGTCGGCCGTCTCCTTCACCCGCACACCTTTGGGCTGGAGGCCTCGGCCCACGGCCCGGCAGGCGCTTGGGTTGCAGGCTGCAGGCAGAGGGGCCGACTGAGCGGCTGGGAGCTGGGGCTGGGCGTCCCCCTCCTTAGCCTCCCAGGGGGTGGGCCGTCAGAACTGGAGGCTCCCGCGGAGCTTGGCCGGCGAGGGACGTGCAAGCGAGAACCGGGACGGACTACGACCCGGGACCGTGGCGCGGCTGGGACGTAGCAGGCCTCCTCCCACCTGTCCCAGAGCCCCGCCCTGCCCCACGGAGCGCCTCCCTGCCCTCCCCTCCAAGAAGAAGACAGATCCAAGTACCGTTGACCCTGTGGGCAGAGCAGAGAGCAGCAGGTTTCTAGACAGCTGGAGCGAGCTCCTCCGAAGGTGAGAGCGTGGACAGGAGAGAGGGAGAGGGGCGAGAGAGGAGGAGCGAGGGCCCCAGCAGGGGAGGAAAGACAGCGTGTGCCCAGACAGTGGAAGCTCAGAGAGGGGTCCCCCGGGCCGGGGCTGCAGCGGGACCACTCCAGGGGGCTCCCCCTCCTGCAGGAGGCCCAGGCGGCAGCGCCACAGTGGAGGGCGGCCAGGGCCGGGCCTACCTTGGCCAACAGTGACCGTGTAGGGGCTGCGAGGGATGGGCACGCCGGCGAACGTGACGTGCACCGTGTGGACGCCCTCCACGGTGGGCTGGTAGCTGCAGCGGTATGTGCTGTCGCCCCGGGCCTCCAGCTGAGGCTCCACCGTGCCCTTCTGTCCCGCAGGGTCCTGGACCACGACTTCCACCTCGCCCGTGCCAGCTCCTGCCACAAAGCACCGGCTCAGCCCCCAGGCCTCCGAGCCCCCAGGCCTCCGTGCAGATCTCCGGGACCAGCTAGGCCTCGGCACCTCCCCTCACCTGCTGTGAAGATCTCAAAGTAGGTGGTCTTGTTGGCGATGTTGCCGCTGGGCTCCAGGCCAGGGCCTTGGGCGGTCACTTTGCTGGCATCACCCTGTGACTTATCCACGTACACCTCAAAGGGGCTCTTCGCGATATGCTGGCCAGCAAAGAGCACAGTGACCTGTTCCGGGGAGGGCCGGGTGTGAGGGCAAGCCACGGCCTCCAGCTAGCCCACGCCACTGGCCTCCCCGCCAGCCAAAGGCTCACCTTATGAGTCCCCGTCACCTCGGGGACATACCAAACAGAGAAGGTCCGGTTCTTGTCGTTATTGGCGGTAACTTTTGCCTGTGGTGGGAAGGAGCCCGTGAGCCTTTGCTGGCAGCAGCCTCGCCAAAAGGGGGCCCTGCAGGGCCCTCCACTGCCAGCAGGTGGCCCTACCTCCTCCTGGTGTCCAGCTGGGTCCTCCACGTACACCAGCACCTCCCCCTGGCCGGCACTCCTGGTCTCCACCGTGAACTCTGCCCGCTTCTTCACCATGTTGCCTGTGGGCTCTATGCCTGGCAGGGGAGGGGAGCGCCGGGAGGGGAACAGATGTCAGGGCCACAGCCGCACCCTCCCCCCTCAGCCCTGACACCAAGGCCAGCAGGCAGAGCCCCGGCCTTCAGGAGTGCCAGGGACTCAGCGTGTTGGCGCAGGGCTCCTCCCTGCCGGCCCCCCGCTCAGGGACACTCCAAACTGGGTGAGTTCATTCAGGGCAAACCCAGCACACCAGGCCTGGCCTCGGGGCCCAGCTGAGAGCTTGCTGCTGGGACAGGCCTGCGCCTGTGTTCTGGGACGTTTGGGTTTGCAGTGCTGGTACAGTTACCCAACCCTTTGCTCCTGTGGGAGCTGGCTGTGTTTCAGGCCCCTCCTATTGGAAGCTGGCTCGCCTCCATTTACAGTGAAGCCGCTGGGTCTTCCCTCCCTAAGGACACGTAACAGCAGGTTTCCTTCACTGGAGGAACCTCCTAGCACGCTCTTGTCAAGTGACCCATTTTCACCAGCTCTAACCTACTCCTGACTCTTGGGTGGTGTTTGACCACCTAGCTACCGTGTGACCCAAGATGCCACCCAAGTTTCGAGGACCCCATCCCTCGGGGAGGACATCAGCACACAGGTGTGGCCCTGGCTAGGCTCCCTTACCTGGCCCGTAGGCTCGGGCTTTCTTTGGGTTCAGTTTAGGTCGCAGGGGAGCCCCTGGCTTCAGCTTGGCCTTGGGGAACTGGGACAGGTAGGTCATGACAGAGTGTTCGTCCACATTGGGGTCCACGATCTCCTCAGGGGTGATCACCTATCACAGGCGGAAAACAGAAGCCACTGGGCTTGAGCCCTCCCCATGGCACTCGGGCCCAACAACCTTGGGCAGGGCCAGGCAGGGGCATACCTGAGGGATGCCCAGCCAGTCGTCAGCCTGCTGCATGGCTTCCCGCGCGTTGTTCACGGGCTTGCTGGCGTCCCAAGAGTCCCAGTCGGGACACAGGCCTGGGGCGCAAGGAAGGCCCGAGTTAGGGAGCTGTCGGACACCCTGGCAGGCGGCCTACCTGTGCCCCTCCCCACTCTCCACCTCCCCTGCCTCCCACCTGGGGCACAGCTGTCGACAAGGGCGCCCAGGGCGCGGCCACTCTGCCAGTCGCGACTGAAATTGGTGATGGGCAGCTGCGGCAGCTTGTTCTGGATCCAGCCCAGGAGCCTCTGCTTGGGCGTCTGCTTCTTGGCCTCCTCATCCTCCTCCTCGTCCCACATGGGCATGGAGATGGAGTAGTGCAGGATCAGGGTCCAGATGAGGCCCAAGATCAGCTTCAGGTTCCCGTCCACGATGGCCTTGCTGTCTGCGAGGCCAAAGAGCAGCAGCTTCAGGCAGGTGACAGCCGGCTTGGCATCCCCCCCGCCCCCACCGCCATGGACAGGAAGCCAGGTTGCTCCCAAGCTGTGGGGTCAGGGCCCCTCCTGGCCAGGGGCGGGTGCAGATCTGGCCCTCTCTGCCCAGGGCCCCTGTGGGGGTGCCAGAGGGTGTACAGAGACGAAGCAGACTTTGGGAAGGAGACACCCGTAGACGCGATGGCGGTACAGTACAGTCAGAAGTCACTGCCGGAAACCTCGGGCCCAGAGGAAGGGCAAAAGACGGGCCCAAGGGCAGGCAGGGAGGCTCTGGGGGATGATGGGGATGAATGCCTTGCAGACGCCAGAGGGAACCACCACTCTTCTCCAGGGGTTTCTGGGGAAGCAGAGGAAGAGGCCAGCCCCAGCTGGCCCAGAGCCAGGCTGCGACCTCGAGCTGGGCTGGGGCCGAGGAAGGGGAAGACTGGGTGGCACAGAGTGGTTGGGAAACACAAGTGCTGCTTTAGGATAAGTGGGGTGAGGCAGGGGAAGTGGGGGAGTTGGGCAAGGACCCTTTGGGTGAAAGGGTGTGAACCCCACCCACCCCACTTCCTCCCCTGCAGAGCCAAGCCAGGAGTCAGGAGGCTGCAGCCTGGCTGGGGGAGGGGCCAGGGGCCGGAAAGAACCCACAGTTGGGCCACGTGACTTTGACTCACTGGGGCCCATCGAGAAATGCTGGGTGACAGGCAGGAGATGTTGTGGGAAGCCCCATTAACCAGTTGGAGGAGGGTGGGATGGGAAAGTCTGGGTTGGGAGCCCAGGACCCTGCTTGTGAGCTTGGGTTGCAGAGGCCTTGGGGGGGACCCCTGGGACCCGCTGACTTAGCAGAGCCCACTCGGCTGCCACCCACTGCCCGCCCCAGTTGCCATCTAGCAGGTCCCTGAGCCTTGTGTGGCTGCCATGCTCACCACAGGGGAAGTGGTTAGGGCGGGTACCCTGCACCCTCATCACCATGGCAACCCCTGTGGGCTATGGGCCCCATCCAAGGCCACCTCTGGATTTCAGCCTCCTCAAGGTGGGGGTGGCTTGGGCTTTCTAAGAGCTCATCTTTGGAAACCCTGCTGGCTTCCCCATAATCAGACAAAATACTTGTCTGGTGAGTCAACTGGGGGGGGTGGGCCTGTGACCCGCGAATGGGCCGTCAATGGCAGGTGCCTCCCAGTCCAGCTGGAAGCACCTGGGGACCAGCCGAGCTCTTCCCAGGCTGGTCCTGGCCCCACATGGCTGCCTCTCCCTGTCCGCAAATGGCGTGGGTGGGGGCGGATTCGGAGAAGCCCAAGGGCGCAAGGCCAGCTGTGGTTGCCCACCAGGCCCCCACCGAGCCCAACACAAGTGCTGGTGAGGACCCGCACCAGGCGGAGCAAGCCAGACCCACCGGCCCAGGTAGGCAGGCTGGGCCCTCCCCCGAGTCCATATTCGGCCCGTCTGTGGCAGCCCATCCGCCTCCCGAAAGAGGGTGGGAAGGACCAGGGCCAGGGCAGGGAGACTGCCTGGTAGGATGGCCCCGCCCCATCCC